TGTACTTATGAATGGTCGATGGAACTAGGGAAAATCCAATCTCTGTATGCAGAACTTTTTGCATTTTGCCGTATCCTAAATCAGACGTAATAGAGCAGTGCAGGATGAAAGCGGTTGCTAACAGGTGGCTAAATTAAACTAGTAAACGTCATCAAGACAAACATTAGCTTAGCGGTGGTGCTGTAAAGTCATCTCACTGTGATGTAGTTCACACAGTGCATTTACTCAAAATCATAAAATAGTGTTAATATGCAGAGATTATTCTGCTAAATTTACAAAACATGCAAGTATAACTTGTTTGCCAAAGATCTTGTTTTTCTGCAATATCCAATACAAAATCCCTTTGGCATTTTGATGAGAAAGCCCTTCCAGGTTGGCCTACAAAAATATGTTTTGACTGCACCACTCCATTGTGAACTAAAGCATTTAGATTTCCTGAGTCTTCTGAATTGCAGACTGATCATAATCTTTGAAACATAATAATCCTGAACATCTGTTTGTTCTGACCGTTTTAATGTACTCAGATCTATGTGCTTTTACGGGAATTGATGACATTCACAGTTGCTGCTATTCTTGGCCATCTTTGTAAAAGCAACCTTTGATCTCAATGTGATAAACCTGGTTGAATAAAGGATAAATAAGAGGAAGCAGTTGATCTGCATGTGTTATAAAATAGATTGTTTTGGTTCTTTTAAATTAAAAGCATATTCAAACAAAATGGCTTATGAGAACAAATTATAATACTTTTATCATTGGGTTTCAGTTATATCAGGCTTTCTGGTTCTTAGCTTTAGGATCAGTGTGTGGAATGTAGCGGGGGGGGGGGGGGGGGGGGGGGGGGGGGGGGGGGGGGGTGCTGGTTGTGTGCTAACCTCTGAAATGGATTGAAGGAACCTTTTAGTTCATGAAAAAGTAGTTCCAGCTCTTAAATTACCAGGAAATTGTTGTTGGAAACGCAGCTTAATATTTCATACTTTTGGTATGACAGATTGATGTTTCTGCAATGGTGGTTACAAACTTACTATGCAATCACTAAAAAAAGTAAAGTAGGATAGATTTCTGTGAACAAGAGAGGCTCAAAAAAAGCATATAAGAAATGGAGCTAAGAGTATAGGCTGCAGTCTGTTTGTACCTGGATCGCTGACAACTTTAAGTCAATGGGAAAATGTGTTAATTAAGATATATGAGTTGGAAAATTGAGTTCAGTATGGGGTTTGCGCTCATCACAGGGCTCTATGGCTCTGTAAACCTACAGAGATGGAAACAAGCAGAGACTGGAGGAAAAACACAGAAACATATGTAGTTTATTTAGTTCTTATAGTTCTTATAAAGGGGTGGTGGTGGCGAAGTCGATAGGGACTTGGCTTGGCAACTGGAAGGTCACCAGTTCAAGTCCCGGCAAGACCAAGTGCCACCGAGGTGTCCCTGAGCAAGGCACCGTTCCCTACACTGCTCCCCGGGCACCGTTCAAAATGGCAGCACACTACTCCTAACACAGGATGGGTCAAATGCAGAGAAACAATTTCCCCACGGGGAATAATAAAGTATATACATTTTTTTTTAAAAAGCACTGATACAATCTGCACACAAAGTAAGTGAGTTTACTTTACTGGCATGCTAACAGCTAACATTTTACAGTTGGTGCACTGACGTTTAGGGTCCAACAGAACAGACTTAAATAAAGAAAACAGCTGTATCAATTTAGCAAAACGCTGCAAGGAGAGGAAATACAACCACAAACCAAGAAACACTTTGACGTAAACTATCAGTAACTATAACAATGCTAATTTTCCCAGAGTGCATGAGTCAGATATTTTTGCAGATATTTGTTAACCTCGTGTTAGCCTTTTGCTGATTACTAGGCTGCCAATTCAAATAACGGTACATAATATCAGAATCATGCAACCAGCCTTGCTCAACGGCAAAAAGGAGGATTTCATTATCTCAATAAGAATGCAAATGGACACACCGTATGAACTGTAATTACACTACCCTTAAAATCATAAACATGATAGTCCAGTGCTTGTGCATATATCATCTTTTGTTGTGTCATATATGTCACCATCTGTCTCACTTCTGTCTTTTTTTTTTACACAAATGTTAAATGCTTAAAAGTTAAGAAATGTATTATTTAGTTCAATTTCAGTTTTATGAAAGTCACAAAACCGACACAGCAACAACACTTCAATCACACGTTGCATGTGTGTCACCCTATTTGATCATATGTGTGTGTGTGTGTGTGTGTGTGTGTGTGTGTGTGTGTGTGTGTGTGAGTGAGCGAGCAGCAGCAGTGACATTGTGTGAGAGCATGCTATGTAATCCTTTTATATTTAGAACTGTTGGCTATACAGTAGGTGACAACTAAGGTGCATATCTTGGCATCATTGTTGTGTTGCTATAGAAACACAGAGTGTTGACATCTGACAGCTAGGCAGAGAATGTGTGTGTGCTTCAGCTCAATCACTTGTAACCAGATTCCTTAGGGGGTTAATGTTGGTGACTTGTGAAGTCCACCACCAGCTCCTTGGTCTTCCCTGCGTTGAGCTGGAGGTGGTTCCTCTGGCACCAGAGGGTGAAGTCCTGCGTCAGTTCCCTGTACTCCCTGTCGTCCTCGTTGGAGATGAGGCCGACGATGGCAGAGTCTTCAGAGAACTTCTAAAAGTGGTTCAAGGTTCAAGGCTTTTATTGGTCATACGTCATAAATCTTAGGTCACAGGCTCCTCCAACAGAGCAACACAATAAAACAGAAAAATATAAAAAATAGTGCAAGTAAATACAAAAAGAAAAATAGTAAAAAAGTGAAATAGTGGAATAGTGCAATAAGAGTCTATATACAAGTAATTGAATATGGTATATTAGATCAATCATTTCTAAGTTAATTAGATGTTGTGGATGTTGTTTCAAAGATCAGGTGTTTAACAGTCTTATTGCCTGTGGGATGAAGCTGTCCCTGAGTCTGGTGGTTTTAGTCCGGATGCTTTGGTAACGCCTGCCAGATGGCAGCAGACTGAACAGTTTGTGGCTGGGGTGATGGGGGTCTTTTATAATCCTGAGGGATTTCTTCCTGAGCCGCTGGGAGTAAAGGCCCTCCATGAATGGCAGCTCCGTCCTGGTGATGTTCTGTGCAGTTTTCACCACCCTCTGTAAAGCCTTACGATTGAGGGCGGTGCAGCTGCCGTACCAGGCCGTGATGCAGCCAGTCAGGATGCTCTCTATGGTGCACCTGTAGAAGTTGCAGAGTATCCTGGAGTCCATGTTGACTTGGCAGGTAGCTGTCTTGTGTGCAATCCTGCAGTGTACAGCGTGAAGAGAAATGGCTCCACCACCGTCCCCTGGGGGCCGCCATACTGCAGATGATCGAGTCTGATTGACACTCCCTGGTCCTAAGTGACATGGGGGTTAACATGTCAGTTGGCACACTGAAAGTTTTGCTTCTCTTTTTTGAGTAGCCAAAAGCTGCTTGTGAAAACTTCTAAAGTGTATTGGCAATTAGGAACATCAGGAAGAAGTACAGAAACGCATAAACAGAAAGACAACTGCTGTTTTTGCGTGTCTGTACTTCTTCCTGATGTTCCTAACCAGCGTGATGTGTGAAATTGTAGGGCTATTTTAATGGGTAACTGCATTTTTTGGCTTCCTACCATTTTCCTGACCTTCGTATTAGGAAACACTGATGCTGCTTCTCTCTTCATGCTCTGGTACCTCTTTTTGTATTTTCAACTTTTCTCTTTACCAGCTTTTCTTTCAAATGATCAAATAAAATTAAAAAACTAGAAAATGTATATAAAGAGCCAAGTACTACCAAAGGCACCCTTCACAGTCAGTGAGAATGGCCCAAACACCTCTTTTGTTGTGCAGTTCAGTACATTAACTGGATTTGATTGATAGTTCAGGTGTCATTTGATTCATGATCCTTGTGAAGCAAGTTACCTACCCTGCTTTATAAAGAAATGTACAATGTGCAGTGGAAGTGTAATCATGTTTTGAAGAATGAGTTTTATAACGGAAATTAGTAAGCAGTCTAGCACTTCCTTTTAACAATGTCTCGAAGTTTGTTTTTTAAATTAATGTTTTGTTTAGATTCCTGGTTAAGGTCTGTGGTAAACACAAGCTTATAAAATGTTCCTGTTTTATTATACAACATAAAATATACCAGACAATACCATACTCAAAGAAGCGATTATTAAGACGTAAATATACAAGACTACTTAACGTCATCATGCCGAATGTTAGCCATCTTTGGCTTAGCGGTGGCGTCATGGTGTCCATGACCTAGCTTATTTTTGGGCTAAAAGTTGCTAACAAGTGACTAAATGTGACTATGCAAAGTCATCATGCCAAACATTAGCCACTTTAAGCTTAGCGGTGGTGATGTGGTGACCATGACCTATTTTTTTTTTAGGCTAACAGTTGCTAACAAGTGACTAATCTAGTCGAATGTTAGCTGCCTTTAGCTATAGGCAATGGTGATGCGCAGCCATTGGACTGTGATGTAGTTTGTTTAAAGTCTAATGCTAGGTTTTTACTTCAGGCAATCAATTCAGCTTCAAAAATCATAAAAGTGGTAGGCCTATTAATATGTGGAGATTTTGCTGCTGAAAAAAACATGTGAGTATCATAAAAGTGTGTTAGGAAACATCCCATCGAGGGAGCCCTTGCGATGCCAACTTCTGTTTCAGCCTATAGAAATATGTCAATATTGCACCACTCTAATGACACAGAAAAAGGCAATCCAAACAGGTTGTAACAACAGATATGATTTAGGGATTGGTCCACATGTGTGCTACGTTTAAATATGGCGGTTGCGGTGCTAAATATAAACGTAATCCCGATACAGCAGACTCAGATACTAGAACAGAGCAACATTGATATTGCCGCAATTAAAAGCCAGACTCACTGCCACCCATTGTGCTCTCCTTTAGTCAGCCCTGACTGTCTGTGATCCATGGATGTTGAACTGTGTCTCTAGCTCTATCTGATGAATGTGTCTCTCGTTCCAGATGAGATCATGCAGCAGGAGATCCGGCCGCTGCTGGCTGTGGACATCATAGAGCAGCTCCACCGCCAGTTCGCCTTACTCTCAGGTATGGAACAAGACCCCACTGTATTCTAAACACTGTGAGGGCTTCTTACTTAGCCTAAAGCATTACATTAAGAACATTTTCAGAGCAACTATGGGCCAGGAGGGTAGCTACTGTAGATATGACCTTCATTTAAACAGTTGAAATTGGTTAGTAAAAAATAAAAATGAAAATTCATTCTCAATAATAATTGCCATAGAATGGCAAGTGAATACATATTGAGTATATACAGTCTCAATTCAGTTATGGTGTTGCTATGAATATTATTGTATGCAATGGACATCACTGCTGATTTAATGCGTGCAACAAATAAACCAGAAAACATTGTTACATCTTTCCAGTTGGCCAAAATATATTTGCATGAATAAGTCCATGTGGAAATCAGTTTGAGCTGCCTCTTAAATTTGCTAATTTTTTCTCCAAAAAGTACATCTGTGATATTTAAAGGAGTATTCCAGCATTTTTGCATTGCACTTACATGAAGTTGGACAACTCGAGAGAAAATGTTTTATAATCCAGACATTCACTCCAGGGTTGTAGCTCATATTACACTGGATGTATCCCAGTTTAGCACCTCTACCTGCTACATGCTTTGTCTTTTAAATCCTTTCTTCAACGTATTATTTAGGCTTTCTGTAAATAAAAAAACACGTTGTCGGTCGTATAGCCTTCGTAACCCCGGAGGAGAAAATCCTGCTTATCTTTATTATGTATTATTATTATTATTTTATAAGACATAAACACAGGATACTAGATTGGATTTGACGATAGCAGACCTTTAGGTTTCCTTTATGTTTAAAATTGGTGAAGTAGCCCCTTAACATCAAACCAGCGACATCACATACTGTAGACATGTTTGGTACCACATTCCCTGCTACCTTCTCCTACTATAGGGGATTAACAGTGAAGTCACTCTATGTAAGTGTCTCTACTGCATGGTATTACACAGCTTCACAAAGGCTCTACTGTATATTATTACTATGCTGTATTGTACATCAGAAAGACCCTCTTCTCCCCTGGTCTATACTTTATGCTACTATAGACTCTGTTCCTCCCTTGCATGTACCATAAGGAGCCAACACTGTCATCATCCCCTAATTATGTTGTTTTGGAGCATTCTGTGTCTTACAGTATATCTCCTCATCCATATGGAAAACGGACTGTATTTATATAGAGTTTTTACAGTGATTGTTACCACACAAAGTGTTTTCACATATACAAGTTTCACCCATTCACACACATTCATACAGAGGCAGAGGCTGCTACACCAGGTGCCAGCTGTTCAGGGAGACGAACCTCTATCTAAGCAGCAGCTGCCCGTTTCTTTCCAAAAATGGAAGCAAGCTCTTATCCAATTCTTATATTATTGAATATTAACAATGTCTTTGTATTCACAGTGCCAAATCCAGTGTCACTTCAAGCTTACAGGAACTAAAGATTCCCTTTTAAACCTTGTGATAAGTATTGTATCATTGACAGAAGTCACAGAAATAAGGACTTTAAGTATTAAACTGCTGCTTGAGTTAAAATTATTGGAAGACCATCAAACCAAAGTGATAATGTTTTTTGGGGAAGAACACAGAAAGCCCTTAGGTTGACTTCTGAAGGAGAATAGAAGAGGACATTGAGTCATTAAAAGACTGGTTTAATCCCACATATTGGGGCATATCTACATATATATTTGCAAAAGAAAAACCTATGTGGTACTTAAGAATAATCCAATTCCATTTGTTTTCCCATGGTTGTTTTTCATTGGGAACAGAAGCTTTTCACTGCAGTCCAGCTGGAGGCTCCTGTCTCTCCAGCATTCACTCTGGGTTCCCTCAGACTTTCCACATGTGGCACAGCAGCCGCTGTGGTTCTGCAGAGATGCTTCTCATTCCTTCTCTCGGTCGTTTTACAACATCAAAAATAACTAATGTTTTCAGAAATCCCCTTCTCAGCAGGACTTACCTTCAGAGACACTTACGTTTAACAGAAGCAGAGTTTATGGCTTTGACCACATGTGTGTGTAGCCTTCTCAGCAGGATAGGGGTTGGATATTTTAGTCATTTTTCCTATACAGTTTTTTTGACATGTGAACAGGAACCATTCTTTCTTAGATTGGTGGGAAATGGTTGTATAGCATAGTATATACTGCATTTACTGCAGGTTAAATGACCTTAGCGCAGACACAGGGCGGCAGAATGGAGAATATATTACTAAAAGGCAAACTAGAAGGACTGCAATTTTGTATATTGCCACAATGAACTCTGGTGGCCTTTACTATAGGAATCAGCAACTATAGGAATCAGCAACTATAGGAACTATATAGTTGAACTATAGTTGAACTATATAGCAACTATAGGAATCAGCAACCAGCAGAACAAATGTATACCAGCAGGGGGAGCCAAAATATTTGTATAGGATACTCAAGAAAGTACAAGAAACATTTGTGGCATTTTCACTGCTTCTTTACCACTTTAGTGTAGTTAACTGAACTGTGGATATGACTGGTAAAAAATAGTAGTCATTCCTCCTTGTTTCGAACTATTGTTTTAGTTTTCCCCTACATATAAACTTATCATATTGATTACATTGGCAAGGTCAACAACGTACTTGGTGTATAACATGTGATTCTGCCCCTAACCTTATCAAACCTTAAACCTTAAATCATCAGATTTATAATGTATTATAATCTCTAAACCATTTATTTCTGGTTGTTTCCGAGGAAATCATATGAATGGAGAACTGAAAAAAGAAATCATTTTCTACAAATCAGCAGATGATCACAAAGATAATTAAAACAGGATCTGAGAACATAAGAGTTTTACATTTGTAATTAGGTTTATACATTTTCAGTGGCCGCCCGGGCACATTAACAGTGTTACACACTACATGGGTACAGAGGCAGTGAAGATGGTTATAGAGACAGAATGCTTCTACAGAGGGAGCTGCACTGGATACGCTGACTACACCTTATCCCCAAAGCATGAAGAGAATATTATTTGTTTCATGTTTTTTACCAATGGGTTTTCATGTTTGACTAACCTCCATCATGAGATTGTGTGTACACAGATAGATGTGGCTCCCCCTGCTGGAATACATTTGTAGTGCTGGTTTCCTATAATAAACCCTGCCTGGGTTTAGTAATGAGAACTGCCAGAAAAAAAGCTAAGTAAGATGAATAAGTCAGTGCAATGTTAAAGTACTCTAAGATGTTTATTTTTCCATAATCTACACTCAGGATTCTTTACCCAGACCTCAAGGTCTATTTGTGAGAGCATTGTATCTTAGTTTTTAAAAATCAATTCCATGCTCACTATTGATTCCTATTTACTTCACACTGAGGATGTCTTTATTAGAAATGATACACAGGTACATAGTTCATACATGGAAGGACAGAAATGTAGCAAACCTGCACTACGTTGTTTTAATTGTTAACCCAGAGGCAGCCCAATAAGCTGAAAATAATATATTTGCATATCTTTACTAATTGCAGGTGGTTTATAATATACATATTTTTGCAGCAGGATGTTTAGCTCAAGGTTGCCACCTTGTGACTGTTTTGTAGAAGCAGGAGAGTTAGAGGAGTACATTTGGTTTTGAAGGTATTTCATTAAACTATTTTTCAAATTCAATGTTCGTAATGTTTCCTTTTTACGGCTCTAAGAGCAGAACTGTTTGGTTTCATTTCAGCTGGGCTCAAAAGCTACAGAGTCAATAAATGTGATACATTAAAAAATGCCAAATACAATTCACAGATAGATCGATTTTCTTGATAAATGGTGAAACTGTGTAATAACATGCAGTATACTCAAATACAGTTTCATCGTGAATGATTCCTTATTTTGGGGAGAGCAGCTAATGTGGTAACATTCAATAAAAACATCCATGTGGTGTGGTGTGGTGTTTAAAGGCGTCATTATCAATTCTAAACATGAAGGTAATTCCACAATAGTCAAACCCATCACATAATAAGAGTAAATGTTGTGTGTTTTTGTTGCAGGAGGGCGAGGGAAAGATGGCGCCCCCATCATTATTTTCCCAGAGTACTCGAGCTTCAGTGAGGTGCCGGAGGAAGACTTCCTCAATGTCGTTACCTACCTGACCAGCATACCCAGGTCCGCACACTCTCAAACAGACATCTTTATAAAAGCCTTTACATATTATGGGAAATCCCAAAACTAACTCCCAAATATCATATGATAGGAGCTTTTATTGTGAAAGGTTTCACACCAAGTCTACAGTACCATACTCTCTAAATCAGGGGGGTCCAAACTGTTTTCACTGAGCCACAAACAGAAAAACATACGAAGGGTTGGGCCCCTCACTAGAGGGGCTATTCCCTTAAAAGTTAGGTTATAAGTTCACAAAATCAACCAGATGTAGGTAAATTATTCTAGATAATTTAATATTCTTTAAGAAAAACAGCCTACATCACAGCCCTCAATAGGGTTTAACTTATTTTGTTACAAACAGTGTCTGCAGCTCACTCCTTAAAACAGAAGCCTCAGATTGCTTATAATAATGGGAAATAGGAAGGGTATATTTCAGGCTTGTTATGCAAAGGTTATTGTTTTTTGTTTTTATCAACTAAGATTTGTTAGAAAAGGATTTCATGAAAAAAAAAACACAGAATGTATTGAAAAATGGGGCTTATTAACACATGAATGCTGTGTAATATATGTTTACATATATATTTAAGAAGTACAATATAAGAAAAGCACACATTTCAGGTGTTGGCAATTCTCCATTACACCTTTTGAATTTGCTTTGGGCCACAGTTGGCCCCCGGGCCGTAGTTGGACCCCACTGATTTCGAAGGTCGCAATACATAGGTATACATATCTGTCATCAGTCAATGTCTAATGCAGGATGCCTCAAATACCAGGATGTTCTACTGAATCTCTCTGGCTATCTGTCAAACAAACCCTTGAGCAGCAGACATATGAACAAAGGGGCAAAGACATATTGTAATGAAGAAGTATTATGGTCCCAAAACAACCTGATGCTGGGCCCTACACCATCCCACTCTCTTTGCATTGTGTAGTTTTTATATATTGAAAATCTACCTGACCCCAACAATTCTGTGTGATTTTTCAATTCAGTAAAATCTTTTAAAAATACTCTATATTTCTGGAACTATAGCAGTGAAGCTATTGTTTGTTTTTATTTAATGTGCAAGATGTTTGTGCGTCGGCTTAGTTCTACTGTGTCAGATTCAGCAAGCAGTAAAGTGTACTTTACACACCGATGCACAAAGCAGCAGCCCAGTTACATGTTTCCCTCCTGTCTCCAGTCTGGATGCTGCCAGTATCGGCTTCATCATCGTCATGGACCGGCGGAAGGACAAATGGAGCTCAGTGAAGGCCTCTCTGTCCAGGATCGCTGTAAGTTCTCCAACACATTCATATTCGAATCATCATACATTTGTACCTATACATAAACAAATGTTTGTCTAATACATACATACATTTCAAGTTCCCAACCGGAGGTACAGGGACCCCTAGGGCTACTGAGGGGGATTGCAGGGGGTACGTAGAAAGATTAGTGATTGCAATTTTATTCCACACAAAAAAAACAATTTAAAATACATTCTCATAAGCCTCAGAGCTTAAGAAAGACAAGCAAGCTCAAGTGTCTAATTCAAAGCTCTAGTCTTAACACAGATGTAGAAACTGCCAGAAGTCTTAATATCATTATTTTTCACTGACAAGTGTAAATGTCAAGTTTAAAGGCATTTGTATTAAAGGTGAGTTATACAAGTGATTTTCAGTTGTGAGGGGGTTCTTGTGCAATCGGGCCTATTGTGACCAGTACACAATTAAGACGAATCCTCAAGCTGTGACTTTTAAACTTGAGGATTGTGAGATCTTTTCTGCTGTTTGTGAGAATGTCTGTCATGTCTGTCTGCAGCTTCTGCTGTTTACATTTGAATTGTTATCGAGTTGTTTCCTTCTTTCCGCGTGATTCTCATTGGGCTTTAGTTTAGTTTATAATGAGTGCTCTGATAAGCTGAATATGTCTCAGGAATGTATTGTTGGTTTGGACAGAAGGACTTGTGGTTGTTAATAGCATTTACCAAGCAGAGAGAAATCATTCAAGGAGATGAATGAACACCAGTAATTCTATTAATAATATGACTCTCCTCTCACTCTACTTGTGATGATCACTGAGGAAATATACGTGCATGAGCAGTTTTGATCTTGAGTTTCAAGGCCACACAGGAAGTCTTTTTAATGAAATATTACACGCAGTATGAGTCAGCAGTGTGTTCTGCATTAGCTTACAGACATGTTGAGCTACATTGACCTGTCACTGAGTCCGATTTCTCAGAATAAACAGCTGTAATAATTTGGCCCTTTAAAGTGCTAAATACAAGAAATACACGCATTCCGGTCCCAGGAATGTCCTCCCAGTTAGTGTAGCCTGGTTGAATTAAATGACTAAATGAATGAGTGTATCAAAGGATTGGATGTATTGTAAATGTGCATGTGGTCGTGTTATCCAGGGGGCGTTTCCTGGAAACCTGCAGCTGGTGTTGGTGCTGAGGCCGTCCAGGTTCTTCCAGAGGGCTATATCAGACATTGGGTTCAAGATGCACAAAGACGACTTTAAAATGAAGGTACCGGTAAGCATGCTTCATTACCAACAACTTAGACACTAAACTGCTATCATTAGAAAACAATTACTTCTCTCTTTGTTAAACAGAGTGTTTAGAGACTTCAAACTAAATGCATGACAAATGAATGTTGCATGAAATAACAAATTGTAAATACACATCCATTCCATACATTGTACAGCGTTAACTGATATACAGGGTTGGGTTGTAACGGAATACCTAAGAGAGAGAGAGATCTCTTTTAAAATAAATTGAAAGTTAGAAACGGAGATGGTTCGATAAAATGTGCAAGATAACGTTTATGTAGCGTTTCTTTATTGTCGAAATTATGACATTTATAACGGGATGAAATCAAAGTGAATGGCCTGCTGCTGCTGAATGCCTGGGGCAAGTGACTGGAAAAAGTTTTAAAAGTTATTACATCGTTTCAGATAATAAATAATAATGATAATTCATTCTATTTAGGGGCGCCTTTCAAAGCACCAAGGACACCTTACAATTCATAACATATTCTAAGGAAAGGTTTTAAGGCAGTACAAAGAATGCAGTCCGGGTGATGTTTTTGATGTGTGGTGCAGATGAGAGGGAGCTGTCCAGAATGACACCAAGATGTTGTGTTGAGTTCTTGATAAGCCATTAAAACAGTAAAATACGTGTCTCCTGTTCACCAAAACATACCCATCTGTTATGGAAAAAGAAAGTATTCCAAAAGTATTATAAAAGTAATCTGAACACGTAACTGTAACTGTATTCTGATTACTTTCAAAGCCATGTATTCGGTATTCAATAACTAATTACAATTACAAAGTAACCCTGCTGATATACTATACTTAGCATGTGAAAAAGACGATTTGATTGTAAATAGTTTTTCAAGATCTGCACGTTGCCATGAATTAAATGTTGGGAGAGAAATGCTAAAGCTCTCATATAGTCATTTCTGAGCCTAAAATATGTCAAATCTAAACCACAGTGATTTCTAAAACAAATATAAAAGGGAAGGAAAAGGACACCATGACCTCAGCTGGGCTTCTATGATAGCAACCGCCCTATGAACCACATCTCGTTTTCACTCCTCTGGCCGCACACTGCAAGATGAAGAACACTTTTTATGCTCCTCCTTTCACGTCTTCACACCCCAGATGTGTTAAAAAAAATAGCAACAATAAGAAAGAAAAGGGAAACATAAATGATAACTAAACCTGTGTAGATTTCAAATGTTCTAGGAGCATATATTGAACCAAAACTCAGATAAAAACAACATCCAGAAAAAAGAAATGTCTGAGAACTGTGTAACGAACAGGATGTACAAACTGTACATAATAGCTGTGATTTCAGTGCTATTAAGGCAGGGTTAGGGTTGAATTGAGATGGGTGCTCCAGTAATTTAGTATTTTATTTTCTATTTGTTTAGAGGACTCAAGAGACACATTTAAAGAAATGGTCAAAATGAATGCAGCAGAGACTTTGATATGTGGCTTTTGGTCCCTAGTATGAGCCTCCAAAAACATTGAAGCCTAACATTTCCACAATGATTCTCTCATGGGTCTTCATGCATGATAAATGTCTTTCAAACTCCATGTCCCAAATTTGAAACTCAGTATTTTAGTTATTATTGTTATGACCAGGCAGACAAAGTCCTGTTGATATACCTAGGTTATTTGCTCAGTGTTTCTCTTCTGTTCATGACATCAAACTGAAGTTGAATGGTAAATCAGGGAACTTCCCTTACAGAGACTGACAAGCCACTTCTCTGTAATTGAGACTGGTTTGCCAATGAACTCATTAGTGCTACCACAATCACTGTCACTGTTACACAACGTAGGTCATGATCAAGCGCTTGAAGTGATGTTCTGAATGTGTTGCAGATCGTGATGCTGAACTCATTGTCAGACCTGCACAGCTATGTGGATAAGGGCCAGCTGACGCGGGAGCTGGGAGGATCTCTGGAGTACTGTCACAGTCAGTGGATACACCACCGCACTGTGAGTTAACACACAGTAATACAAACTGTCCACCTGAAATGCCTAGTGATTTGCTGCAACCCATTTTCCCCTCGGGGACAAATAAACAAATACTATACTACCTTCATTTTAATATTAGTGATTCCAATTCCAATTTCCAAATGGTGCCTTTTTCCTCCAGGCCGTCGAGAACTTTGCCATGACAGTGAAAACCACAGCCCAGATGCTGCAGAGGTTCGGGTCAGCTCTGGCAGAGACGGAGCTGCCCAATGACGTCCTGTGCACCAAAGACCTGCTCACAGCACACACCGACAAACACACCAACCTCAAGGTGCATTTTAAAACACCAGCAGCTAATAACATGGACAGTACATGTATGCATTTCAGTCTGTTGGGGAGGAAATGCAGCTTCAAATGTGTGCCATTGTATGAGTTTGAAACAAGGTGCTATATGTTGATGTGTTGACCATAAAAAAAGTCAAGATAAACAAACATTTAAATGTTTGAAAGGGATTGAGAGTCAAATGACTGCCTGGTCATACCATAAAGTAGCCTTTTGACTACGTCTGGGTCATGTATTAGCTACTGTTGGTTGTTGCTTAGTTAGTTTATGTCAAATGGATAGGAAGAGGAAAGCTTTTCATTTGGCATCTCATTTTGCAGAGTAGGGTAGTTAAAGGTTTCGGGGAGTCTCTCCAGTCCCCTAAAGGTTAGCACAAGTTTGTTTTTGGTTAATGGAACCAATTTGCCGATCACGGTTTATAACTATTGCATTTTGCACATCAGCACAGTGCAAACTGACCTATTCTCTTCAACATTAAAATGATTGTATGTCTGTCTGAATTTGCACCAGAATGTTTTCCAATTGCTGCTATTTAACAGTTGATTTTAATGTTGTTTCTTTTGTTTCTACGTCTCTAAATCAGGATGAACTGAAGTTAGCTTTGAAGCAGGGAACCACCTTGTTAGGGTGTATCAAGGAGCAGGCGGCCAAGTCAGAGAATCACCAACTGAACCCAGACGAGGTGGAGAACCAAACCACTGTGGAAAGGTGACAACGCTTTTTCCCACCTTTAAAAATGCATATCAGTCTTTATCATGGCAATGCAGTACTATAATAATTGAATACCTCTCAATGTGTTTCTAATCATGGTCCTGTTGGATGTTTCAGGCTCCTAGCCCAGCTGGATGAGACGGAGAACGCCTTTGAACAGTTCTGGTGTAAACACCATCTGAAACTGGAGCAATGCCTGCAGCTCCGCCACTTTGAACAGGACTTCAGAGAGGTATATCTGTAGATCTGCTGCCTCTCCGGCTGGCTGCCTTTGGCTTGCAATATTTGGATCTTTCCAGTTTCAACTCTTCCTACAGCTTCAAAATAATTCAGCTGTACAGTCATATTTTGAAAACCATACTACATAATACATTGACTCAGTTTCATTACGTGCCAGAGACCTCAAGTTCAGAAGAGTTATGTGTTGTCTTGCTGTAACATTTCTTATTTAGAACATTGGATATCAATTGACGATTAGTCTTGCGAAAATAAATATTGTGAGTAACGTAATTATTTTCACAATTATTTTCCCTGTCTCTGTTTCTGTCCCCTCTTTGATTTTCCAGGTTAAAGTGTCTCTAGACAGTTTGATGGACAGTCTAACCGGCCTATCAGATATTGGGGATTGCGTGGCCAGAGTTGAATATCTGCTCAAAGAACTGAAGACACTGGAGGAGAAGGCTCTGGTCAGTCAACACGCACGCACACACACACACGCACGCATGCAGAAAAAATAATTTAAGAGAACAATCGTTTTGGTACTTCAGGATCATACAACAAAAGTGAGAAACGATGACACTTATTACTTTTAAAAGTATGTATTCCTTTCCTCAATCTTAGTCATGACAGCTCTTTTGTCTTCTGCTGACTATGGTAAATTCTGAAATGTGTTTATTTTAGCCCACACTAGAGAAGGCCCAGCTCCACGCACTGCACGGAGACCAGCTGATCCAGAGCGACCACTACGCTGTGGACTCTATCCGACCCAAATGCGTGGAGCTCCGGCGGGTCTCTGACGACTTCAGCAACGCGTCCAATAAAAAGACAGATGTCCTGTCCAAATCCCTGCAGATACACATGGGCATTGACAAGGTAAGAACATGATACCATGAACAGATGTCACACCCAGAAACACAAGTTTCCCAGCACTTGGATTATCTCATTGCATTGTAGATAAAAAAAGTCCATAAAATTCAAAGACTGACTTTGGATCAGCCTTGGGCAACAGGCTTCTAACTTTGTTTATCTTATAAATATATATTTTGTAATACTTTGTTATGATGTTTATGTCTGACTCAAATTCTGGCTTTTATCATACGTTTAGATTTTATTTTAGGGTATTATGTTGAGTTTTTTTCTGTCCTTTATAATACATTAACTAGGCTAAAACCTCAACCCCTAATTTAATTAAGGTGGTGAAGAGCTAGAGAAAACTGTGTATGTTCCCTATTGACCCCAGTGGCATCTTAACCCAGGAATTACACTGAGGAATTACAATGTATGGTATGTTGTTCGCTAAATTGACTTTTCCCCCTGTTTGAATGTTTCTTGTGTCCAGGTTAACCAGTGGTGTGAGTCTGGCATCTACCTGCTGGCCTCCCAGGCTGTGGATAGGTGTCAGTCACAGGAAGGGGCGGAGTCAGCACTGACGGACATAGAACACTTTCTGGAGTCTGCGGAAAACACTGAATTGACTGAACTGAGGAACCTTCACAATCAGTATGAGGTCGTCCTGTCCGAGGATATCAAGGTATGGAACACGATTCCATTAGTTGACAAGCTGACTGGATGTTGTGTTTAAATAATGATGAGGAGAGTTGATGGTGAGCGTTTGCAGGCCAACGTACTGAAGGCCCTGAAGCGCCTGGAGGACGTGCAGGAGATGTTCCAGAAGCGGCACGTCAGTCTGAAGAGGCTGTCGGCCAAGCAGACACGACCCATCCAGCCCGTCGCCCCACGGCCCGAGTCCTCTCCCAAACGGCCGCCTCTGAAGACCCCCCCCAGGACCACGGGAGTCCAGCAGCGTGAGTTGCATGTTGTTTTAACTTGCTAAATTGTCCTTCAGAAGATGAATCCATGGTAACTCAAACTGTTTGAATCCTTATGTCTGTGATATGATTGACACTTATGCTTGGTCCTCTGAACTTCTTACAGCACTGGCTCGCAGAGCGTCTGATAACACCAACAGTGGCAAGCCGCCAGTCGAAGCTGACCCCAAGAAGAAGAACATACGCAAAGCCAAAGGAGGCATCAAGGTACCCTACTGCAGTGCTAATCTGAAATCTCACCAACATTAAAGCCTGATTAACAAGTCACTTTAAAGATTTTTTTAAGTTCTAATCATGAATTAGAAAAAGAGCAACTGACTGTGACACTGGGGAAAGGTATGGTCTCACAATTATTGATACCTCTACTAGGTACTTGCTATACTACATACTTGGTCCGTTCAGGGAATTGAATCGGCGCTAGTCACTGCAACCTCCATCCAGCCTCACAGAGAACACAACTAAATGTCTTTATTTTCCATAGTAACCACAACAAATGTTGCTCAAAATGCCAAGATAACACTATGACCAAATTGTCTCATCTACTGTACATCATAGTTTATATACAGCAGTTCTGTGCAAACTGTAGGGTAAATCACAACACCAGCTTTTGTATTAAAGGCTACTGACAGAAGAAAAGGTAATCTCTGGATTTACCATTAGCCTCGTTAAATATTCACTAAGGACTTGATGACCACCTGAATGCAAACACCTGGTTTTACTGGCTCTAGTTAGTGACTGGGCCATTGTAGAGCTCTATTGGGACCAAGCTGAAAAAAAAGACATTGTTTGCTTTTAAGGCATAATACAAGCTGCCCTAATAACTCATTTATCTGAATGTGTGTGTTTCTGTGCCACAGATTGAGGTGATGCACGAGGAAAGTCAAGGAGGCTCCACCCACGTTGTTGTGACCAGTGAGACGGCGGAGAGTCTATCCAACAGACGCAGGTATGGACAGAAATCAGTGCTGTGCTCACATGCAGTACTTCACCTCACTGTCATCTCATTATACTGATAAAACAACAGGATTATTCTGAAGGTTTGCAAACAAGATGTGAAGTAAAATGGCACAGCAGCAATTCACTGAACAAAACACAAATCTTCAAAAGTCTCGTACTTCACTGAAAAGTTCATTTTAATTGTTATACCCTATGTTTCCACATCCCACTTATAAGTAACCTTGAAAAGACACACGGAGGAACAGGATCCTTTTGAATGGCCAGAACCACAGAAAACCTTCACTTAAGGGGCCCTAAGGGTTTCTTGGACTTGACCTTAATCAGAGAGAATGGGTGCCATAAAGGTGGTTATCATCTGTCTCTGTTAACCCAGGCTTCCTTCCTCAGGCTCTATGTCCCATAAGAGGTGCGCTTGGTGCATCATTTAACATTTCTACTGGCTGGATTGCCGCCATTTTAACTTATAAGAATTGATTTATTAGAACTGTTTCAGGAAACCTGTTGCTTTGAATAAGAGCAGGATGCAAGTGGAAAATTACTATCCATAAAAATCCTATTTTAGAGTCATTGTGTGTAAAAATGTCTTCAAAAATACCGGCAAGCTGAGTTATGTATTTTACATTTTCAGCAAAATCAATATAAAAATTCAAACAGATAAATCATTTTATATAAAAAAAAATACTATGTACACTTCTTTAAAATAACAGTAATATAAAACAGTGTTTTTGGTTAGATTGTCTGCATCATTGATATAAAATATGTTGCTGTGGAAAAATAAAAGCAACATGCTGCATACAGAGCTAATACTAATACTAATACTGCAATTGTTAATTTGACGGCATTAACGCAGCATTTGTGGTTTCCATTCAATGCATTGTGATAGACTCTGATCTATTCTTGTCCAGGAACCGTGAAATGGATTCAACAGATTTGGCAGTGAATGAGAGAAATAGGTTTTGATAAGAGAAATGTGATGATTTTACATTGAATACCTGAGAGACATTTTCATGGAGGCGGCAGGCACACATAAAGACACAACCAAAGTTAGGATCATCTTAGGCAATTGACTTAAAGCCCAGAGAGGCAGAAAGGAAGCTGACATTCCTTCCTTCCTCAGCTCTTTCTGAGGAATTTGCTTTCCATGTCCTGTTTGCTGACTCAGTGAGACTCATCCTCTTCAGGTTAGTTGCATTAGTATAAATAGAGACGGTTCTGTACAGGGGGGTGTGGATATAATGAGTAACATCACATGGACATGTACAGTGAACATCATAGTAACAGTACAGGGGTGGCAACACTGACACAAAACTACTTTATCTGTTAGTCAAAGGGTGTGTACAGTCTAGATAAGGCCACTTCTTAGGATAATCTCTCTGTTCAATCATGAATACTTTGATTTAATGAAATATTATGTTTTGTCTAGTGGCAACTGGCAACATGTATTGATATGGGAAACATAACACATTGTTAAGATTATAAAAATAGAAAACGTGTTTCCTCTGCATATTTGATTTCCTCAGTAACAGTTAGTGTATCATGACATCCTTTTTAACACATACACATAATATTTACTTCAAATGTGTGGCCCGTTTATGGCACCAAATCTAATAAAGGAATGCACTGAGCTTTTTTCCAAATAGAAGTATAGTGGAGACACGGACAAGTGTTGGTCATGCAGATCTGATGTGAGCTACCTAGCTAACGTAGAAACCTAATTTCAAATATCGTGACAAAACACTTACAGTTATGAAACAGACTAACTGTGCCAACAGGGACAGTTGTCCACCTTTATAACGGAAGTGGTTTGGGCCGTGGCAGTGAGTTTTCACCTTTCAGCCACTGAAGGCAGCCTTTTATGAGCTGTAACTCCTGCAGTCATCTCTTCAAATGGTACTCTATGCCAAACACATGCCAACACAACCCTGCATCACATTGTATCCAAGTCATGAATCATGACTGGCTCAATCTTTGGATAGGTCACATTTGATATTTTGGAGGACACTTAACTATTTTGTTATTTAAGTAACTACTAATGGGTTAATGTCTGAAAGGATGTGTACAAAACGAATGATAACAAATTAAAATAAACAACTTTGCCATGTCATGTGGGGAATGCCAAGTTTCCAGTAGTGAATGCTTTCCATCTGTGGACCCATAAAAAGCAGTAAAAAAGTTCCTTTTAAGGTCATGATGCCAGAAGACCTCCACACACTCCTGGTGATACAGCCTGTTTGATGTTTAAAAGAAACCCAATGAAACAGGATGCACCCGATCGGCAGTGGTGAGAGAAAAATAATTATAGAGGAAGATGAGGGCATAGCGTAGTCAGAGGACTAAACTATGAGGAAACAGAGCAGAGGGAGGTGGTGGTTTTGGCCGGGTGCTGTTTTCAGTGGAAAAACTCTAAAAACCAACACAGTGAAACTTTCAGCTTCCAGAAAGTCAGACATTTCCCTCGGGTCAGGATTTGGTAGCAACAAAAACATCTGAAAGAGGGAGCACAGTGGATAGAGCCTTGGTATGGGGATCAGATGGTCACAGGTTCAAACCCCACTGCAGTCAGCATGTTGTTGTGTCCCTGGGCAAGACACATCACCCCAAATTGCTCCTGTGGGGATTGCCCACAGTACTGAGTATGTAAGTCGCTTTGGATAAAAGCGTCTAACAAGTAACATGTAATGTAATGAAAGAGAATGATTATAAAACGGGGGGTTACGTATTGTAACCCTAGTTATATAAGCACAGGCGGAGCCCTCTACTGGACTCTATGGGTACAGTGGGTGGAGCCCTGATGGATAAACGCCCTGTCGTCCAACAACACCGACCCATCACACTGCCCTTGACCGGCCTTTGGTTAACAGCCACCACACCACTTCCTCTCATCCGGTTGTGACCGTGGAGAAGTCGGGGCCGCAGCTTTGATAGAGCACACTCACACACACTTACCTCGTGTGCATGGAAAATAGTGAGGAAACCGCGCACCATGTTCCCCGAGTCCCTAAGGAGCATGGGAAAAAACACAACACGCGTCTCCTGCAGAGGTGGTTTATCGGCCTTCTTAGATCCCAAGAGGCACAAACGACGTCTGGTGACCATCCCCCCCTCGGTGGAGGGCAACCTCTGATACTGGGGGTCCCCAGAGCATCTGCGGAGGGGAACTCCACTGGGGCGAGTGACCTCCTACATCACGGTGTTCACAGACGCATCCATGACAGAATGGGGGGGAACCTGCCTAGAGAGAGTTATAGGTGGTTGCTGGCCTCTGACAGAGGCTCGGCACAGCAACCTTCTAGAGCTGCAGGCAGTAGTGTTGGTCCTACAGCACTTCAAACCCTTAATACAAGGCAAATATGTGCTGGTGAGGAGCGACAACCACACCACAGTGGCGTACATCAACAGGCAGAGTCCGCTCCGCCGCCTTGTTGACCGCAGCAGAGAACCTGTGGTTGTGGGCTTCAGAGAATGTGTTGTCTCTAACGGCCCGTCCACACTACAGCTTTGACAGCTTCAAAAACGGTTTCCAACGTTTCCAACGCGTCTGCCCATTCACTTTGAATGGGGTGACGTCACGTTGCCTCGCTTTTCGCCGAACTGAATTGTGGGTAGCATAGCGGTCCATCTCCGGCGTCTCCGCCATCTCCGGCTGCAGAAGTTGAACATTGTTCAACTTCTGCAGCCGGAGACGCCGGAGTAGCCAGCGCCAGCCAATCAAATCCCGTTTCTGAAAATCTGACAGCTCAAGCCCTAGCCAATCAAACCGCGTCTAAGCTGGGAGAGATATCCCGCCGTTCATTTCTATATTTCAAAAAAAGATGGAGGAGAAACTAATTATCGCCGTAGCAAATCACCCGGTTTTGTATGACCAGACCCAGTGACGCACACTAAATGGCTTCCTGCGAGACAATGTATACACTTTGTGCAACCTTGCACACACACGTGTTGCCCTTCTTACCCTTGCTACAACACCGGCATCCATTTTAGCAATAGTGGAGAAGAACCTGTTTTTTTTGCTTTGTATGTCCGGGGCGGGACATTCATGTGATTGGTTGTTGGTCGCGGTGCTCGAATAAAATCCCCAAGCTTCAGACACGCCCAGCTCCAAGCTTTTTTTGAAGCTGTAGTGTGGACGGGCCGTAAGGGCCCTGCACATCCCCGGGCGGGAGAACAGAGGGGCCGGGCAGCAAAGCAGAATCCACCACAGCCTGTTACAGGCCAAAGTGGTTGGGATTCCAGCGGTGGTGTGAAGAAAGGAGTCTAGAGCCTCTATCGTGTACGTTGTGCTCTATTCTGTCCTATTTACAGATACTGGTGGACAGGGGGCTGGCTCATTCCACAATTAAAGTGTATGCAGCAGTCATTTCGTCCTGCCATGAGGGATTTGGCGGCAGATCAGCCTTTAGTCAACTGCTTATGACGCGGTTTTTGCAGGGGGTCAGGAGGCTGCGCCCAGTGGTGCATGTCTCCTCCCCGCAATGGGACCTGCCGTTGGTGCTCGAGGCTCTGGTCACAGAACCAGTTGAGACTCGGGAGCTCTCCTCCCTGAAAGCACTGTCATGGAAGACAGCGTTGCTACTTGCCTTGACTTCGGACAAAAGAGTGTCCGAGCTGACCGCTCTGTCGGTGCACCAGAGTTGCCTTTTGATCCGGGGTAGCGGAGCGACACTCAGACCGACACTCAGACCGAACCCCTCCTTTGTTCCTTTGCTGGCATGTTATGTAGAGCGCACAGCTTCAATTAGGCGCACTGAACAGCTGTTTGTGTGCTTCGGGGATGGTGTGGCCGGTAAAGCTCTGTCCAAGAAACGCCTGACAGGATACAGCGTATGCAGTAACCCCAAGGGTACCACGAAGTGAGCAGCCGCCATGAGACCCAGAGTCTGCATGATGGTCAAAACTGTCAACGTTTCCCCCTGTCGCAGTCTGTGTCGCAGTGTGTGTGTTTGTGTGTAGAGGTGTGTGTGTGGTTAACACGTAGCAGCCTGCAGTCAC